CCTGTCATCATCGCTAAATCCCTTGAGCCGGACTTGTTGGATATGCGCAAATACATCAGCCAGGGGGATGAAGACATCTCGGACACGATACAGGACATGGCCGCTGAACGACGTTCGTGGCTCAGAGCGGTGGGATGATTCTACCCTCGTCCTGATTGCGACTACCAGGATGGACCCTCCTCAGATCCCTCTCCTCATCTCCTGACCTCTTCCCTTCCCCTTCCTCCCAAGATGACACCTGTGAATGCTGTCATGCCCCAGGCTGCTGCACCAGTACCTATCACTAATTTGCACCTAGCTCAGATGATTCATACCGCCGCGACTAAACAATCTGAGTGCATGAACAACCTGATCCAAATGCAGACTTCCCAAATGGATCGATTGAAACAGATTATGACGAAGCTAATAAAGGCCAACTCGAGTTTTTCGCGTCCCACTCCTCCCTCGTATCCCCTTCTGACCTACGAATCCCCCTCGGCGGCGGCCATCCGTGGACAAGTCCGCGGCCGCGGCCTAGGCCGCGACCCCGCGGACGTGTCTGCGGTCCGCGACCATGAAAAAAAAAAAAAAAAAAAAAATCAAAAAATTCTGAAAAAAAAAATGTTATGCAGAAAAATATACTGAACAACTTTTGCCTTGTGGTCATATCCAAAAACGTTACTGAAGTTAAAATAAAAAATCACATACGTTTCATGTTTTTTTTTTGGAAAAAAAAAAACAAACAGCTTTTGCCGCAGGAAAATTGGTTTTTGAATTTTTTAAATTCAATGACGAAGTCAAAAAATAAAATAAAAAATTGCGCAATTTAGATCTCGAGAGGATCTACAACCCCATATTTTTTATTTTTTTGTTTGATAAATTCTTAAGGTAAAAAAAAATTCTTGAAAGTCGCGGCCGGAGCCGCTGCGGCCATGATCACGTCCGCCCTCCGAGCTTGACCCCTTGGATGCGTCCGCGGGTGTTTCATAGCTTCTGACTGCTCCTCCCACCCCCGGACGAGCCCCTCCTGCTTTGCATCATGTAGCCAATCCAGTGGAAAGGGTTGAATGCTACAATTGTAAGCAACCCGAACACTTTGCACGAGATTTCCCTCAACCAAGGCGTAACCAACCCCCGCCAACAGTCGCGCCTGTCACCTTGAACCACGGACGGGTAGCCGCAATGTTAAAAACAACGAGAGAGAGGGAGTCTGCCTCTTTCTCTACATAACCATCTTCTTCGATTGAACTCATCGCGTCCACTTCGGGATCATCGTCCGAAGCGGCCAATGTTGTTGATCCTACGGAGTACCTCCAGTTAGCAGGACTAATCGGAGCGATCCGACCTGGCACATACGAACTCGAATGGATTCAATGAGGATCAGAACCCGGTCCTCAGTTTTGAACAGGAGAGGTCGACGTTCTTCAGACGCTCAAACACTTGGATATTTGAGTCCCTGTCGCGGTGGGTCATTTACTAACCATATCAGAGGCAGCGAATGACAAACTCCTTCAGCATTGCAAAAAAAAACAGAAATAATTCACATACCAACGTGTTCAAAGGATGCTGAAGAAAAAAGAGGACGACGAAGCAGAAGCAGACTCTCCTCCATCGGAACCGATACCCATCGTAAACATGTCCGACGCACCTGAAACTGCTCGGGTCGCTACCATTTCGTACGCAGAGAGGGATCACTTCATCCATGTTCGATCTGTTCTATGAAAGAGTGCAGAATGTGATTGTGAGATATGGGGTAAGTCGTTCAATGCTCTCGTTGATACCGGATCATCTGTTGTGGCGATATCCTTGGAGACCGTTCGAAAAACAGGACGGTTGAATTCGATCCTTCCCCTGCCCGGGAAAGACAACTACGTCTCTGCTGATGAAAAAATCATGAACATAGTCGGAATCATCGAAAACATAGCCGTTAAGGTAGGACGAGTACATGCCCTGGTTAACGCGCTAATCATCGATGTGCTGTCATACTCGGTACTATTGGGATTACCCTGGGCAATGGCAGTGGGCGCGCAGATACATTTCGATTCCAAACAACTTATCCTTACACACATTGGAGGAAGGCCTCAAACTATTCCGCCACGAGTTCCACTCGTGCGCCTAGAAAGAGTCCCGGTCTCATTCGAGTAGGAATGATCCAAAGTTTGAGTTTGAAAGATTCATCCGGAAACAGTGACGAGCTTGCCCACTAATTTAGACAATAATATTTTACCCGTCCATACTTCAGCCCTTCGGTATTTTTCGTCGTATTCGGGGCCGTCAGTTCTGGTGGCCTCGAATCGAACTTCTGTGGGAAGCTTGTCCGTCCAACACAGAGGGCACTTCCATGCCCTACCACTTGTTCGATATCTAACATACGCGCCATGTGCACGATTGACACACGTGACACATTCTACCCAGTCAGCGAACCCCGACTCAAAGGCATAACAATCTACCCCATAAACCCGTGAAATACACGTGCAAAAATAACAGAACTTGTCCGGAAGATTGACGAAGAATTCCAAATGCGGAGGAGGAGAGGAATCGGTGGTGTTGAGAGAAGGAGCAGAAGAAGAGGGGGTTGCCACTGTTCCAGGGAAAGGAGAGAGAGATAGAGAGAGAGAGCACGTGTCCATTTAATCCTTTAGAAGGATCTCCACTTTACCGTACCGAGGTTCGTTCTTTGACTCCGGATCGCGCCACAGTGTCACTTCTTCACTCCTGAGTACCTTGTCGGGACAATGCAATCGTGTCATTCCGTCCACGTTGCCGTGTTTCTCATGTTTCCGATCATACCCGAGTAATCCGTCGACTTCTTCAGAGCCAAGAGTGGTTCGTGATCGGTCACCAACGTTAACTTCCGACCATAAAAATAAGTTCGGAAGTGATTGATTCCCCACAAGGCCGCGTAACATTCTCCCGTTGGAGCGTAGTAGTTCCTCTTGCAGAAGGGGACCGATTTAGACGCATACTCCACCACGTGTTTCAGACCATCAGGTCCCACCTGGGCCAGAATCGTCGAGATCGCCTCAGGCTGCCAATCGGTGATGAGAACAAAAGGTTTTTCCGGGTCAGGTCTTATGAGGAGCGGGGCCGGGATCAGAGCCGCCTTGAGTTCTCGAAAAGCCTGATCGCACTGCGGGGTCTAGATCAATGAGTGATCTTTTTGCAGCAAGTTGGTGAGTGGTCCCGCGATCGCTGCAAATCCCTTGATAAACCTCCGATAGTACGATGCCAGCCCCAAAAAGACACGTACTTGTGGTACTGGCGTCGGCACCGGCGCATCTTTCACAACGGCTACTTTCTGTTGTTCCGGTTGCAACCCCTTGTCCATAACCACGTGGCCGAGAAAAGAAATCTCTGTGAGGAAAAACTGACATTTCTTGAGAGCCACCTTGAATCCAGCGTCCTTCAGTGCGTACAGCGTCCACTCGATGTGTTGCACGTGCCCTTCGGAGGAACTCGAATACAGAAGGATATCATCCATATATACTATCACACAATAATTAATTATGCTATGCGTCAGCCTCATTTTTCACACGAAGTTCTGGAAGGCCATATTCATCGCGAGCTGAAACGTGGCTGGGGCATTGCAAATTCCAATCTGGCATCGAATCCATTGCCAAGTCCCTTCAAAAAGAACGAAGGTCGTCTTCGGGTGATCTTCTTTTCGGACGAGGAGATGGTGGAATCCATGGTGAACATCAAACTTACTGAAAAATCGAGCACCACCAATAGCATCCAGCAAATCATCAATCCGGGGGAGGGGATACACATCCTTAATCGTAATGTCATTCAACTTTTGATAATCAATACATATACAAATTCCACCCGCCTTTTTCGGTACAAGCACCACAGGAAACGACCATGGTTCGATGGCGGGTTCAATCCATCTATTCGCTTCAAACTCTTTTACTCTCTGGAACGCGATCAGTCATTGCGCCAGAGAGCACCGATAGGGGGCGCAACTAATCGGTGGATGATCCCCTGTGAGGATCGCGTGTTCGATCACGGCTGACAACCCAATATCATTATCGTCCACACTCAACACCTCAACGTATCCATGCAATACATCAACCAAAAACTTGCGAATTTCTCCGCGCACGTGATCAAGTAGGGTGATCGCTGACCGTTCGAAAATGTCCAGCCGTATGTGGATCCAATCTGGTCCCATTGACCGCTTACCGTCCATGTTGGAGAATATCGAGCTACTGGTTCGAACCAAAAAAATAGTAGCAAGCATATGTGATTCAGTCGGGCTGATCATTTCAATTTCCTTAGTTTCGGCATCGGTTTCAGAGTCAGTCGTGCTCGCTGCGATTTCCAACCCAGTTAGTTCAACCATTTCCTGTATCAAATTGGGAACATCATTAATCGGGGCTTCGACTTCTTGCCTAATTAGTGCGATCACAACACTTCGAGTGAGCAATGGTCTGGGCAGGGAGACAAAAAGATCTAGGTACTGATCCATTTGCTGATATCTTTCTCGCAATGAAAGCGCGCCCTCGTACAAGGTTCGAGGGGGTTCCAAGAGGTCAGCCATATCCGAAATCTGCAAGATAGGTTCTCCCAGGAAGGACATCATTGAAATCCGTGTTTCTGTTGGCGTAAGAAGGGATACCGGCGGAGCAGGGTTAAGATCGTTGCTCTCTCTATTTAGATCAAATGTTCACGCGGTAATCGACATCATCTGGAATTCTTCTTTAGCTTCGTGATCGAACAACTCGACCAACCGACTCTATTCTTTTTCGGTAGGCATGTACTTTAACAACTCATCATCGTCTCGTTCATCATACCCATCATCATCAGCATGACAGGCGTCGGACCACTGAGGGGTCCCGAGATTACAAATGGATCAATGGTCACTTGGAAAAACGAAAAGCAAACGGATCGGGATTATGGTTGACGGTTCCCCACCTATTTTTCAGCAATATGACTGGACCAAATCGGCGCATGAGGAGCAGGCCGCTCATTTCGCGGTACGTGTCACTGAAGCGACCATCGACCAAAATCGATGGTTCTGGTCTAATATTCGCGATGACGTGAGACACGTGGTCGCTAACTGTCTAGTCTACGTTGCCGATCGTGCGCCCTTTCGTGGGCCAAACACAATAGTCCCGACAGAGGTAGAACATCCTTTCCAACGAGTCAGTATGGACACGACAGATTTTGACGTGCCACCTGACCCCAACCGTTGTGAGTACTCCATTCTCTTAGTGTTGATCGACCATTTCTCGAAGTACATTGAAGTTTACCCCTGTAAGACACGTAAGGCCTCAAAGATAGCTACGTACATCAACCGATTCCTCAATACCCATCTAGATACAAAAGAGATTCTGACCGACAACGGGTCTGAATTCAAAGCAGAGGTAGAGGAATTATTAATGCGTTGTGGCATTACTCTCTGACACACTGCTCCCCATGTCTCCCAGTCCAATGGGTTAGCCGAGAACGCGAACCACATGATTAAGACCGCTCTCCGCATAAACTTAGCAGCCAATGACACACGTCCTTGGCCCGAGATAGTGTATCAAATCATCGGGATCCATTGGGCGACCCCCAATGAATCCACCGGGATCACCCCCTTTCAGCTACGAACGAATAGTATCCCATGTATCGACAATCGGAGTGCCTCGAAAATTGTCGAAAAAGGGGGAAGGGACACGCGGTCGGCCCTCAAGGCCAAGGCTAGACGGTACACGGAACTAATGGAAAAGGCTATCTCTAGGCTAGCCCGAAAAGGCAGAAAATGACCGAACTGGCCCATGATAGGCAGGTTTGTAGTTACGAGGCCCGGAATGGGAATGCAGGCCCCCAACACCAGTATAAATTAGGGGACCTATTGCAGGTACGTAAATGTGCACGCGACCGAAAACTCGCTCCCAAGTTTTCTGGCATTTTTCGAGTAGTGGAACTTGACCCTAACGGAGCCAATACTGTGCACATCGCTCCTGAGACCAGCGCCAGCCATAGCTCTTTTCCTATCGTCCGCCATACCTCCTACCTCCGCTCCCTCCCACATTGAGAGGACCCTATCTCGCCTTCGTCTTCTTTCTCCAACCCGGACGAGGATCTCACTTCTCCTCCGTCTTCGCCATGAGTTTCGCTATCGAACCGGCTCTTCCTCCACAACTTCTTCAACCTTGACCTTCGTTGCAGTTTAGCAAGGTCGTACATCCTCATCTCAGTCTCGATCTCCTCCGGTTTGTGCAGCTGTTTAGCCACAGGGCTTGGTGCGCGGCGGTAGAAGTAACGATTTCAACAGGGCGGGGAGCAACAGTCATCCTGGTGGAAGCTTCGACATTCGATCGATTCTCCCGACCCAACCAGAGCGACGTAACGGTGATCCTTGCCTTTAGTGGCGATCTGAGCATTATCCACGAGCATCAACGCAACGCGGTGATCACCAACCTCTACGAGTGGGGACATGAGTGGGTAGTGGATTGGCGGCGGTGACTAGCCCGACCAGGCCGACAAATAGTGGGAACCGAGTGTATCGATACCTTCTCTCTACGGACTAGTAACACTGATCCCCCTGCTCGTCCCCTTCCCCCTCTTTGACCTTACCCCTTGCATCGATTAATCGTTTTTCGACCTTCTCCCTCCCTTCAGATCTTCCAACTCTCTGGCCATCTTGGGCTGATCCCCTTCTAACTTTGGAAATTCGCCCCGACGCGATCCCTCCCTTCCATCCTCTATACCTCCGTAAGTGGATCGAATTCGCTCCGATCAGCGTGTGCATGCTAACAGTGAAGTGTC